GGAGAGGAGGGGAGGAGAGAGTGATGGAGGAGAGAGGGATAGATGGATAGAGAGAGAGAGAGAGAGCAGGGGATAGTGGGAGAGAGGGAGAGAGGGAGAGAGGGAGAGAGGGAGAGTGGGAGAGAGGGAGAGAGGGAGAGAGAAGAGAGGGAGAGAGAGGGAGAGAGGGATGGGGGAAGTGGAGGAGGCATGCATACCAGTGTGAACAAGGTTCACCAAACAGGGGAAAAGGCAAGCCCCTGGATGGAGTGGAGGTTGCATATCTCGGCAGGTGGATGAATAGGCAGACAAATACAGGGAGAGAGGAAATGATGTGGGTACATTTACAGATGGCTGTATGGGAAAACAGAGATAAGAAGAAAAGAAATTTGCAACACAATTTACACTTACACAAAAACAAACAAACATGTAGTGCTAATAAAGAGGGAGAGAGACCATGGATCCATCATCAGATCATAGGAAAGGAAAACCAAAAGAAGAAAGACCATAGGGATACTGACCTCCACTCACATAACCATACTGTTTGACCTTGAAAAGCGTAAAATTTGTCACACGTGAGCATGTTCCTGGGATAAAATCCGCTGGAGTATTTCCTGGAGAGCACAATCCAACAGAGTTCAATAGACAGACATGTCCAATTACTTATTATCTGATTGGATCAGCATGTTGTCATGTGTTGGGGTTGGCTACGCACATACGAGAAAGAAATGAGAAGAAGCCTGGAGAGGGCAACAATTCAAAACGCACTAAATAGTAAATCCACTACTTCAAATTTATCATTTATCTGATTTTAGTGACTTGCCAGGGGAACAGGAACCGACCGGCCTGACGATCCCCAGAGCTCAAAAACTCTTCCCAAAATGAAGGTAAAATACACAAGATAATTCGACTTATGAAAACTCAACATTGGTCAGTTTGGATGAAAGATATATCATCATTAGCCAAGTCATTGAAGTGATTGTGGATGCTATCTATGAATTATTGCCCTCTTCTACTGGGCCTTGTAAAGCATTGCGCAAAGTACGAAATTGGAAAACCACAAAATGGTTAGTGAAGGGAAAAGCTCAGTGTATAAGCGGCGCCTTGTTATCACGAATTCAAGATCAAAGTTTTTTGGACTTCATAGCATTTTTCATCAAACGAGATGCCAAAATGTTCAGTCAATTATATTGCCTGAATTAGACATTCAATTGAATGAGGTATGCAAAGCTTCTCAAAACAAAACACAGACTTCGATTCAAGCGTGTAAAACAGAATCGATATGGAGCCAGGACCATAAGGCCCTGTTTATTATAAAAAAAAAAAAAAAAAAAAAACTTAAAAAAAGCCGTTTCTGCTCGTCGTGTGTTGCCATAGCAGCCCATGTAAGATGCTTCCACACAACACACCCTCCTCCTCATACCATTCGCCTCCACTTGGTCGTCTTCCTCTTTCTGCTCCTCATCCCACCGTTCTTCCTCCTCCCTCTTCATCTCCATCTCCATTGCTCCTCCCCTACTCCTACCTTCCCACGTCCATCTCCATCACCTTCCCTCTTCCTCCTCTACCCCCACATTCCCACCTCCATCTCCACACCTTTCTCGTCATTTCCCATCTCTTTCTCAGCACCTTTCCACCACCTCTCCATTCTCCCACCTTCCCACGTCCCACCTCCATCATCTTCCCTCCTTCTCCTCTACTCCCACCTTCCCTGCTCCTCCTCCTCTACTCCCACCTTCTCACCTCCATCTCTACACCTTTCTCAGACGCAGAAAATGGGTGACGAAGAGGTGGCGAAAAGATGATGGGACAGAGATGGAAAATGATGAGAAAAGTGTAGAGATGGAGGTGGGAAGGTGGGAGTTGAGATGGAGGGAAGATGACAGAGAGGTGATGAAAAGGTGATGAGACAGAGACGGCAAACGATGAGAAAGGTGTAGAGATGGCGGTGGGAAGGTGGGAGTAGAGGAGGAGGAGGGAGAAGATGGAGATGGAGATGGGAAGGTGGGAAGGTGGGAAGGTGGGAAGGTGGGAAGGTGGGAGTAAAGACGGAGGAGCAAAGGTTATGGAGATATAGAGGGAGCAGGAAGAAAGGGGCACAGAGAGAACTTGGCAGCTACTGGTAGGGGGGTTTGCAAAATTTTCCATAAAGGGTACAACGGCCAGAAATATTGGGGCATATGGACAAGTTGCACAAGAAATACTGGGGTATATGCACAAGATGCCAGTTCCAATTGGCGAGTGGGGTGTTTCACAAAGTTTCACAACTGCGATAGGGGCATTTGGCCATACCCATGCCTTTTAGGGGTACCTGCAGTGTTGCACACCCCGACGGTCGGCACCCCTTGACTGGCCGGATGCCGACCAGCCAACCGGTCAGCTGGTCGGCGACTACCGGTCGGGGTTCGTTGGCACCCCGCAAAAATAGTAATAATAATAATAATAATAACAATAATAATAATAATAATAAAAACTCCCAATAACCTCACCAACACCCCCATACCAGCCCCCAATACCCCCATTCACCCCCTCAAAACCCCCAAAGCGCCCCCCAGCACCCTCATTCACCCCCCCATACCCCCCAGACCATCCCTATACCCCTCTATACCCCCCCTATAACCCTTCCCAGCCCCCCCATATCCCCCCCAATCCCCAAAAGTTTCTCAGCGGATTTGGGTTGTACTCAGCAAGCGCCCCCCAACTCAGATTTTAAAAAAATCAGTGGATGGCTGTTTTCTGACTGGTCGGCAGACCGCCGACAGGTCGGCCCCACTGGTCGCCTGCAATACAGTCAGGGGTAGGGGTCCCCGGTCGACAGCTATGCAACCCTGGGTACCTGGCAAAATACCCCATACTTCAGGGGCATTTCAACAGTTTTCCCTTTTTCTTTTCCAGATAATTTCACCATTTTTATGTCTCGTAATATTCTGATTTGATTGTACAGAGAGTATGAGATAGGACCAAACAGCATATCCCTCAGGACATACTCACATTAGCACTTTCATACATGTATCTGACAGATTCTGACTGCAATTACGTCCAGACCTTCATGCATCTGACTGCAATCACGTCCAGAACTCAGTCAACAAGGTCCTAGTGCGAGTATGCCTTCAATGCAGGCATTGCAGGGTGATAGCCTCAATTTTTTTCCTGTAGGGTGATGACCTCCTTTGATTTTGGGTCAAGAGAAGATGATGCACACAAACTTCGTCCCAAAGATGTCAAAAGGCAATCGAAGGCTTTCTTTCTTTGGGTGAAGAATGTTTCAAGCCAACAGGGAAAACAATCCAAAAGAATCAGAAAGCGTACAAAGTACTACAAGTTAGTACAAACTACTTCAAAGTTACTACAAACCATAGCCAAGGCCCAATGGCTAGCCAACTCTATTCTACCTTTTTGTTCTCTCTCTTTTTTTTTTATTTTTTTTTAAGTGAGCTGCATTCTTCTCTCAAGTTCACCTCACACTGCCTACCTACCACTACCCCTAATTATAGGCATACAGGGAACCCTGTAGCAGCCAGAACCGTGTTCACAAGAGATCATGCGGGGGCTGCTCCCGACCTGCAGGTGGGCGATACCGGCCAGGGGACAGCTGGTAGTATCAGAGACCATGCCAACAGGACCAATCCCTGTGCCTCCCCTCAGGTCCCCTCCCCTACGAGCATCAGCAGACTCTGCTCAATGCTAATTGGGGCCACCTAGAGATCGACCACTCTATTCTACTTAATGACACGAGGGACGCCAATCACGCAAGGAAAAAAAAAAAAAAAAAAAAAAAAACACGACACCAATCGTGTTTACTGATACAGACTACGAATCAGAAAGGATATGAACTTTGCCAATCACACAATGAATCAGAAAGGAAATGAACCATAGGTGTCTGTGCAGTTTACTGATTGAGGATGTGATCAGACTACGATACTTTTGGGGGCGTATTGTACCACAATTATGGAAAGATTCCGTAAACGAAAGTCCACTCCTCATGTAAATATGCCCTAATAGATCACCTGATACACAATCTTCACACACTCCCAAGGGCTGGCAAGTTCCATCCACTGCTTCATAATTCTGACATGTCTCATCAGGAAGTCCATTTGCCTCTATGTATTCCAATGCCTTTGCCGGCTCCCCGCCTTCGCAACTTCCACCTCCTCTGCAATTCACCAGAACCTGCCATAAATCCAAGGTCCCAAACAAACCACACAACACCTTTAAAAAGTCTACCTCCATCATCCCATCCCTGCACTCATCCTTCCCCCTTCACCTGCCCCCCCTTTTCAAATGACAATCCATGGATTTGCGGCCTTCAGGCAATCAATTCCTCACAGCTTTCCTTTGTCTTCACCAACTGCAGTTACAATTTGGACACTCTCTTCATAAAAAAAATATATTTATTTTTCTCTCTGTCACATCGCCAAAGCATTAACACATACAAACATGGTTGCCATCATCCTGCCATTTTGCTGTCTTCTTTTGCTTTTCTCTTCTTTCTGCTCTTCTTGTCTTTCATGTTGTCTTGCTCTCTCTCTCTCTCTCTCTCTCTCTCTCTCTCTCTCTCTCTCTCTCTCTCTCTCTCTCTCTCTCTCTCTCTCTCTCTCTCTCNCTCTCTCTCTCTCTCTCTCTCTCTCACACACACACACACACACACACACAAACACTCTACTCTACGCTATCACAAAAAGGGACGCCAATCGCTAGCCTACTCGACTCAAAAATTATGACATAGATGACAGATGACAATCACAGGACAACACGGAAAAAAAACGGGACACCAATCACATAGATAGGACCATTGGGATCATTTCCCATGACCTCCAAGATCACCGTGGGCCCATAGTAAACGGGCAGTAGATTTCTAGATTTGTTGTCCTCTCAACTGAACTCTGAGATATTGACACAGACTTCCATTCCTACAGGCCATCAACGTTTTCACCAAATCTGTGGGCACTGACTCATGGGGTGCAGATGGAATAAGAAGAGGCTTTAGTGTGTACACTGTACAGGTTTGTTTGCATCGGCAAAAACCCTGCAGCTCTCTACGTACGCATAAGCACCATTTGTCATGCCGTGCCACCAGAGCTGCTGCAACAGAGTAGAAGACACTCGTCAGCGATTCCTAAAACCAGAAGTGCCCTGCCGCGTCGCAAAATTCTCCCCCAGAAGAAGATACTCATCAGGGATTTCACATCAGGGAACGTTCTCCCAAGAAGATACTTGTCAGGGATTTTTCATCAGGGGGGCACACTCTGTCAAACCCGTCCTTACTCAGGAACAGCAAGTCAGAGAACATTCTCTTCTACTCATTGGCAGCCTTATCCTCGTCCTGGAAGCATCTAATGATCTGACTGAGTAAGCTCTCCCTTGTCCTTCGGGACATCTGTTAAAATCATAATGAAACAGAGAAGAGTATGTGATCCCTTGGCAATCTACTAATGTACACTGTCATGTTTACTGCAATGATCCACTCAGATTTACTCTCCACACAACATGCACAATGAAAGCTCACACACAGAATCACACCAAAGCCAGATATGAAACATCAAATCAGTGCAGCTCGGAAACTTCAATGACTACTCATATTATACAAATTCAGAGTTCGGATAACTAGCGCTCATCAGCGCATGCAACAACTTCATCAGGTAGTGGCTCTCTCTCTCTTGTCCCTCTCTCTCTCTCTCTCTCTCTCTCTCTCTCTCTCTCTCTCTCTCTCTCTCTCTCTCTCT